GCTTCCAGCGTAATTACTTCCTGTTGATAAACAGCCATATTATAAAAATTATTTCAAACCTCGGCGATGTCGGAGTGACATGGGTAATGTAGATGATAGTGAGTAATTTAACCAGACGATCTTCTTCGACGTAATTGTGTGAACGAATAAGAAGTAAGCTTTCCTAGAATAAGTAATTTGTTCTTGTTCTCGAGAAAACATCATTTTCAAACGAACAGAGGAACTGATTTTACTCAAACTTTGCTTAGTTTGCGAAAGCAGGCCCGTTGCAACAAATTTTGCAAAGAGGGGCACAATGGCAGGTGGCGAGTGCTAATTACTAAATACGAGTAAATAGGGATACACACGAGTAACACAGGGATACAAACGAGTAACATGGGGATACATGCGGGTAACAGGGACACCTACGAGTAACATAGGGATACATACGAATAAATAGGGATACATACGAGTAACACAGGGATACATGCGAGTAACAGGGATACCAACGAGTAACATAGGGTTACATACGAGTAAATGGGGATACATACGAGTAACATAGGGATACATACGAGTAAATAGGGATATACACAAGTAACAGGGATACATACGAGTAACGTAGGAATACATACGAATAACAGGGACACCTACGAGTAACAGGGATACACACGAGTAACATAGGGATACCTAAGGGTAACATAGGAAAACATAGAGTATCATGGGGATACATACGAGTACCATAGAGATACATACGAGTAACAGAGATACCCACTAGTAACATAGGGATACATACGAGTACTATAGGGATATATACGAGTAACAGGGATACATACGAGTACCATAGGGATACATAGTGACAAAGGGATACATGCGAGTAACAGGGATACCTACGAGCAACATAGGGATACATACGAGTAACATAGGGATAAATACGAGTAACATAAGGATACATACGAGTAACAGGGATACCTACTAGTAACATAGGGATACATACAAGTACCATAGGGATACATACGAGTAACAGGGATACCTACGAGTAACAGGGATACACACGAGTAACATAGGGATACATACGAGTAACAGGGATACATACGAGTAACATAGGGATACACACGAGTAACATAGGGATACATACGAGTAACAGGGATACTTACGAGTAACAGGGATACTTACGAGTAACATAGGGATACATACGAGTAACATAGGGATACATACGAGTAACAGGGATACTTACGAGTAACAGGGATACTTACGAGTAACATAGGGATACATACGAGTAAATAGGGATACATACGAGTAACAGGGATACCTACGAGTAACATAGGGATACACACGAGTAACATAGGGATAGATACGAGTAACAGGAATACATACCAGTAACATAGGTATACGAGTAACAGGGATACCTACGAGTAACATAGGGATACACACGAGTAACATAGGGATACATACGAGTAAAAAAAAAAAAAAAAAAACATTTCCAGCGATCGAGCACACGTGCACCTCCATTTCGACCATATGGAGCGCGAAAAAAGCCTGATATCGATTTTTTGTATGGGTCAAAACTCTCCAAAATGCGTAAATTAATTCTAAATTAGAATTACTGTTTGACAGCGAATTAACGAGTTCGCGATCATCAGAACTCTTACCAGCATGCATCACGGGAAAAAAGCACTGTTAGCAAAATGAAATAATTACTATGGGATACTTATCAACAACAGTCACACAATCTGCGCAAGATAAAGAGTCTACAGGTCTGTGGCCGGATCGCAGTTTGCTGAGGCAGATGAAGTCTAGCCTTTGTATTCTGTAAATCATGCTTGTGGTTTTAGCTGCTGGTAAGTCAATATTATGACAGCAGAGTAATTCAAAAGGCCGTAAAGTTTTTGAATGGGCGCTGCAAAGGGGCTTGTGTTTTACAAAGAACTAGCTTTTAAACATTACTATCAACTGTTTATCGTTGACGTTCCACAAAGCAACATAGTCGAGTAATCCTTAATCTCAACGGTTGAACTTCGAGACGATGGTAAATAATCAGTCAAGCGTCTTTCGATAAGACTTGAAGCAACATTCACAGTTATTCCGGTGTAGTGTCACCAGTAAAGGGTGATCATATCGCCAATTAGTACACAGTAAAATAGTTTGTACACTTGAAATCCTATCTCTGTATTTCTTCAGTTCGATTATTTCAATCTAAATAGTTTTGATGTCGTGTTTTTGGCAGGAAAGCCATAAACTGCAATAGGTAGGTAGCGTGACTAAACATGAAACTGACAACCGTAGCTAACCGTGGCTAGTTTAATATTTTAAAGCTGCTGCTTTATTAACTGATGCTCGTGGATCCATTTAGGGGCTTTTTCGAGTCCACATAACCAGAAAAAGCGAATTTGTTTTCTGTGTTAAGGTAATTAGCGTTCGTATTTCAAACACTAAGATTCAACTTGGTGGTAGAGCCTCTAATTTGCATATAAGGACGCTTTTGACAGGTGGTGCGTGACTAAAAGTCTACATTGTTGTGGCTTTGTGGGTGTTTATGTTAATATCAGTTTAATTCTTGCCCTGCAGTTCTTTTGTTGTCTACTCAAGTGAACTCAAGAGGTAAGCATTGTTTTTTAGAATTCTTAACAAAAAAGGAAGACACACGTTCAGTATTAATGCCAACAGTTTTGCCCAACAGCAGAAGGCCATCAAAGAAAGTGAAAAACATGTAAACTAAATAAACTTAGTTTGATGGAAACAGAACATTCAGAGTTGGGTTTATTTTGATTTTTTTGGTTGACTGATATAGGATAGGAATGGTCAAAGATTGGCATGCGTTTGTAAGAAATATTACTTTTTTAAAGTTTCAAGTTTAGATTCATTATTTTTTCTTGGTCGTGCTGATGCCTCGAAGAGTAGAAATAGAATTTTGACTTGCCTTCAGCTGTAAGCACCTTGGAAGAAAATATGAATTTTGATGCTGAAAGTCGCTCTGAATACAANTCCGGGACATGTACGTGGAAAGTCGATGTTCCCACAGATTTACGGATTATTTTTTATTTTGTGTCCTACAACATTGAGTCGTGCCGCAGTTCTTCCACATGCAGCGGCTGTACCCGCGTGGAACTGAGGGATGATCCAAACGAGTTGCCCTGGACGACATTCTGCGACTATAATAGTGAGATCCCCGAGCCGATCTCAACCAACAAAAGCACTCTGTTCGTCAACTTTATTCTAGCGAACGATGACTCTGACAGTTGGTTCACCGCTCACTATGTAACTTGGCCATTTGAAGGAAGTATGAATGAGATGTTAGCATAATGTAATATGGTTTGAAATTAATTTTGGTTCATAAGGGAGAAATTCGTAAAGCCGGCCCCAGTGTTGTATTCTGGAACTCCAGTCGTCCCTTGTGCAAAGATGGGTTCCCGTTGAGTCGCTGGAGAAGCCTGCCAAAATGTCGGGGAATAAACAACTATTACCGGGCACCCTATCCTTCTGTCATGGTACTGACCTGGTACTGAGACCACCATGTAATCACAACGTCATACAGTGTAGTTCGTCTTCTCGGATTGTGTGAGATTAATATTTTGTAACTTAGAATAATGTCCACAAATTCAGCTGTTGATGTTGGTGAGTTTAATTCTTGCTGACAGCCTTTTTGGTGCTTTCATTGCAGAAATCGACTTGACGGCAACCTCAACTAGTGAGATTTCTAGCCCAAACTTTCCTGGGAAATACCCGAGGAATTCGTATTTCCGGTGGTCAGTGGTTGCTCCCTCGGAATATCGTATCAAAATTGAATTCTCCAAGTTTGAGATAAGTTACTGTGACAATTGCGCATGTGATTTCCTGATAGTGCGAGATGGTTTTTCCAAGGAAAGCAAATTATTAGGAAAATACTGCAGTGATCCAGGTAGTTTGTACACATCAGGAAACCACATGTGGATGGAGTTTGCATCGGCGTTGACAGACAGGCGAAGAAGTGACAGCATAGGATTCAAGGCTACAGTCTCAAGAGGTAGGAACACCTTTACAGCTCATATGTGTTTGTGTTTGTTTATTTGTTTGCTTTTGAATATCGTGGAGTTACATAATCAGTAATAATTCTGCAACCGTACGTTGAATACGAGGGTATTTTTACATTTTTAATGTTTTTACACTGGGTTGGATGAGAGATGACGAAATAGCCAGCGTGGAATTAATAGACCAATTTCGATCAATGGACCTCAGTACGAGGCTCTGGGGAATAAACCGGCCACAAACTCTGAGCCTCGTACATGAGGTCTATTGTTTTAGGTTGAATTTTCATAAATCGAAATTGGCCTATTGTTTTCTTCAATACTCCCCCAGCGTGCTTCAGTATTGTTTGTTGAAATTATATATATGCTTGATGATATTTCAGTACCAAACTAAAGTAGGTGTACCCTGGGTACCAGAGGTTTTTTCTCGCCCGCGGTGGACGGAAATATCTCGCTTCGCTTCGGCGGCCGAATGCCGCTGGCACGAGCGGAAACCGCTAGAAATCTCAAAGTTTGAATGCGTGTTGAATGTGTAAAAACAGTCAAGTTCCTATCGTTGTTGGCGTGAATCTAGTATAATCGACATCTCAGCGAGTGTTACCAGCCGTAATCTTAAGCTCATCTAGTTTACTTTCGTTTTCTTTTTCTGTTTGTTTCTAGAAATCAAACTTTACGTGATCGTGGTGCCGTGTGTTGTCGGAATCCTTCTTATGACTCTAATAGCCGCCGTCATTGTGATGATGTTTCGACGTCGCCGCCTGTCCTCCCCGGGTAATGGAGCTCCTGTGCAGATGTCTCTACTGAACGAAGATACTCAGTTATCTGATTCAGGTCCACACAGTGAAGCCAGTTTACCAGTTTATCGTCCAACCACGCGAGCAATTAAGAGTTGACGGACTTAGTTACTAAGTCGCTACCCAAACCCACATACAGGTTTGACCTAAGCAGACACCCTCCTAAGTTTTTCTAGACCCGTGGGTGTGCACTTACGGGCATTGCGACTATACAATCAACTTCTTCTATAACCAATACTTTTGTTACTACAACGTAATGTAAGTAAATCAGGGAACTTCCTCAATACAACCTTCACTGAATCACTTCAATGTGGTCATATTGACAGGATAGTAGTATTAACACGATTAGTTTAAATCATGACGCAGGTCAAATACTACATTTTTAACCCTGACCGGTGGACACCTCCCCCAAGCGGTCACTTTTCCTGATACTTAAGGTTCCGCTTACGGGAGGTCTGAATCCTTTGGCCACTGCTAAATATGCCAGTTATATAGAGGATATTACACGGTGGCGAGAAGATATGAATTTTATGTTC